TCACATCCCCGCTGGCCTTTCAGCCTCCTGCCTTCATGAGCATAGGGCATTTGCAATTGGTCTATGCAGTTGCATGTTCCTTTCTTTGTAATATATTTTTAGTTACTCAGGTTTTTTAACTCATTTGTTTTGGTGCTGGGGCTGGAACCCAAGGCCCCAAGCATGCTCGGTGCATGCTCAGCTGCAGAACTACATCCTGGCCCTCCCTCTTCTGGGCTGAGTGGTATTCCATGGTAGGATGTGGCAGAACTCATCAGTCTCCAGGGCAGGGACCTGAGCTCCATTCTAAGCAGATGGCACATAGAGGTCAAGTCAAGGTGAGTACAAAACAGAGCAGCCAGCTAGAGAGGCAATCTCAGAACAGTGTGGACTCTTCAAAGAGCCTGCACCATCGTTGGTTACGTTGAAGAGGAAACCGGCTACACAATCCCTATGCTGTGGCCAATGCTTGCAGCCCTGAGGACTACACGGCCACTGCCACTTGGAGCCAGGATGCAGGGTCAGACGCCAGCGCCTGACAAGACCCATATGCTGAGGCCCCATCCTGGAGGGGTGGGGCTCTGCGTGCCCCGCGGCTGCCATGTGAGCTACTAGAGACAAGCAGGAGGCTCCGGGCACAGCTTCCATGTGTGTGCACCAGGGTGCCACACCTTTCCTTCCACCCCGCTCCAGACTCCCACAAACACCACAGGCACTGTTTCCCCTCATGGTTCTAGGGATCAACCGCAGGGCTGCACCAACCCCAGCCCATTTCTAGTTTTTTTTCTTTTGACATAGGGTCCTTCTAAGCTCTGTAGGTGGGCCTTGAGCTTTCAATCCTTCTGCCTCAGCCTCCCTGGGCACCAGTAAGCAAGCCCACCTACGTGCTTCTCAGGCAAGTCTCAGCAGCACCCTGGCATGATGCAGAAGCATGTCATGTTGTTCCAAGAGGGAGATGAGGCTAGGCCAGAGAGCTGGTTGGTTCCCAGTCTCGGCCACACATTAAGAATCACCTGGTACCAGGTGCTGGGTACACACCTGGAGTCCCAGTGACTCAGGAGGATGAGGCAGGAGGATGGCTTGAGTCCGGGAATGCAGAACCTGCCTGGCAACACAGCAAGATTCCCATCTCAAAAAAAAAAAAAAAAAAAAAAAAAAAAAAAAGGCTGACCAAATAACTGAGCTGATTAAAGTGCTTGCAAGCAGAAGCAGGGGCCAGGGGTTCAATCCCCAGGCCTGCTGTGCTGGCCCCACCCCCAGGGCACATTGAGACAGCATTTGAGACTGGGTGTGGTGGCATGTGCCTGTGATCCCAGCTCTTGGGAGGTCGTAAACAGGAGAATCACTACCAGTCTGATCTAGTAGTAAGACCCTAAATACCCTGTAGATCCTTCCCTAAAATACAATAAATAAATAAAAATAAACAAACAAAAACTTAGGAAGTAGATGGGTGGGTAGATAACAAAATGTTTCTCTCTGAAATCCACACAGTGAAATATTACCCATTTCTTGAACAAGAATGGGGTACATGCACATACAGCTTGGGTGGGCCTCAAGAACACCAGGCCAGGGGCTGGGACATAGCTCAGTGGGAGAGAAGGTGCTTAGCATGTGCCAGGCCCTGGCTTCAACTCCCAGCACCACCCACACGAGACAAAAAGTCCCACTATGGTCAGTGAGAGAAGCCAGACACCAAAGGTCACAGAGGAAACTCAAGACACAAGTCTGTGGCGGAGTATCAAGGACTGAAAGTGACATTTTATTCTTAAGAATCCCTTTGGGGCCCCCAGGGAAGAAGATAATAAACTGGCTGTTAGATCGCAGCAGAGTCAGAGGAGAGACTCGGCTCTGCAGGAGGAGCTATGAGGGTAGGTTAAGGACAAAGCGTCCAGATGTCTGCAGAAAAAGCAACGACAAGAACAAGGTTCATTGTAAAACACCAACATGCAGTGAATCTAGCTGTGCAGAAGGGGTGCTTACTGAGTTTTCTGGACATTGCGCTACATGCCTGAGAATGTGAGGTCACCCTAGGAACATCGATGTCATTCCCCCCATCCCCAGCAGGTTGGGGAAGTGAGCCAGAGCAAATGTTGCAACCAGAGATCATAAAACTCCCAGCTCTGGGACCCACCCAACCAAAACAGAATCTCCAGCATGGGGAGGGGGTTCCTAAAACCACCTGGGGGGATTTCAGCAGTCGGCCAAGGTTGAGGACCAGGGTGCTGGAGAAAGAGCTCAGGGGAGCAGGGACCATGGTGCCACAGTCCCCAAGATCCCGGTGGGACGGCAAGCGGGAGTCATTCACCACCTCTGGGGGCTGATGAGGCCCTGGCAGGGCTCATGCCAGGAATCGTGCCAGGTCTGGGTGTGGTAGGATAGTGCTGGGGATGGTGAACAGTGTGGCCGACACTCACTCCCCCTTCCACCCTGTCTGTGGTTCTGAGGGGCAAACCTGCCATCAGCCTTTCGCACTGTAGTATAATTTACCTGGCCCTCTACTCCAGGGAGGAAGACTGGTTGTGGCTCTGAAGGCAAAGCAAGGAAAGAGGCAGAGCCCTTTCCCTGCTCCTGGGATCGTAACCACCTTAGCAGGGCCAGGATCTTTGAGCCCTGTCAACCTCTCCCACCTTGAAAGGCGAGTTCAAGGCCAATGGGGCTATATAGTCGGTACAAGACCAGCCTGGACTACAGAGAGTGACCCTGTCTCAGAAAAAGAAAAAAAGACTCAGGTCTTAGTGAGTCCTGCACAAGGCTGGAGGACCCAGACCACAAGTGTGTCATGCCAAAGTTCGGAGCAAAGCATACCAGACCACTTCTGCAGGGGCCCGAAGGCCCTGTGCTCCAGGGGAAACATAGGTTCCTACCCTTGGTGTTCTAGGCAAGCTTTCTTCATGGCCTCAACCACCATGCTTCTTGGCCTTCCACACATGGTTTCTTTACTTAACAGTTCCTTTCATTCTTCTCTGATGAGAGAACTCCTGTAGATACTTCAGAGCCCAGGTTAAAAGGCCTTGCTCTGAAAAAAAAGCCTTTCTTGATGCCTTTGCTAATCTCTAAGCCAATACCTTACTTCTTAGGCAGACACAGTTGCCAAGTGGCCTCCACACAGCACATGTGTGTTTCTGGGCCCGTCTGCCCCTAAAACACAAATTTGGAGACAGGATTCCTGATCTGGGGCAGAGCAGTGAGCCACAGGTAATGCCTGGTGCATAAGTGACTCATCCATCATCTCGGGGATCTTATCCTTACAGGCGCAGGGCCAGAGTTAGCAGACCCAGCTGGACCCCATGGGCCAGGAGACAGGTGACAGGCATGTGGGTGGGGCCCTCAGCTGTTCTAAGGGCTTGCAGACCTGGGAAAGTGGAAAACAAGAAGGACTTGCTACTTTAGTGATTCTTTCTTTCTTTCTTTCTTTCTTTCTTCCTTCCTTCCTTCCTTCCTTCCTTCCTTCCTTTCTTTCTTTCTGTTTCTTCTTCTGTTTTTCTCTGTAGCACCCAGGACTTGTGCCTGATCAGCAAGTGCTGGAGCACTCAGCTACATCCCAGCCCTTCCAAGTCTAATAAAACAGACTGAGTACAGTAGTGCACACCTGTGATCCTAGCAGTCTGGGAGGCTGAAGCACTAGAAGAAAGAGAGAGAGAGAGAGAGAGAGAGAGAGAGAGAGAGAGAGAGAGAGAGAGAGAGAGAAAAGCAAGCGAGCTCAAACTCAGCCTGAGCAACTTATCAAAACTCTGTCTCAAAATGAAAGAAAGAAAAGAACAGATGAGCGAGGCTCGGGAAGTAGCCCTGTAAAGGCTAGACTCTTTCTCTGACTGCCCTGTGGCAATGGCTCCAGTCTGGGGCCTGAGCTGCAGGTCCCCTCCTGGCCTGTTACCTGGCCCTGCGGGGTCTGCAGCTTCAAGGACCAGACTCCCCTCTGAAGATGCAGTAGCCGCCCCTCCCCAGCTGGGCTGGTGCCTGTCTGCGGCGACCCTGAATCCCTTGCACAAGGCACTAAAGAGGTCTGCCCGGGCTGCACACAAAGGGGTATCTGTGTGTTTGTCCCTCCGAGGCCAAGGCCAGCCAGGGCCAAGCGCCCCCAGGAAGCCACTCTCCATCCCCCCGCGCAGACTACGCTTTGTGTCCACGCCTGAATGCAGGCTGCTCCGCAAGGCCGCCCAGCTTGGCGCGGTCTTTGGGAAAGAGTCATTGGACTAGTGCCACCTGGGAACGACCCTGGGATCAAAATCCTGGGGCCCAGTGCTGGGAACAGGAAGAGAAACAGCACGGGGGGAGGAGGGGGAGCGGTGCACCATGTTCAGGGGACTGACACGACAGGCAGCAGAGGGTACAGGCCTGGCCAGCAAGGATGGCTTCATGTGCACAGTCCCAGACCTGGTGGCAATGATGAGCCAGTCCTCAGCCCTCCCACCCTCCTCCTTGTCTGTAAGTGAGAGCCATCCCCAGCCGAAAGACTTACAGATAACCACTTACCTGCCAATCTCTGCCCTGCTAGTTCTATGACATCAGCAACAGCCAATCAGAGTCCCAGATTAGCACTCCACCAGTGAGCCACACCCCTGCCCCTGGTGTGGCCTTTGGGTTGATGTGTCTTCACCCAAAAGCAAGCGCTGGATCTTTCAGAGAGACATCTGTGACCTGGAGGAGAGCATTTCTAATTCCCTTCTTTTCTAGCCAGTCTCTGACTCCAAGCCAGCCAGGCTAACTCCTTAAATAGCCAGGACCCCAGGCAGGAAGTCCCATCCCCCAACTCATCCCTCCCCTCTCACAGAGGTGACCTAGGCCTAGCTGTTTTGTCCCCACCCCCATCCCTCAAACCTGTGGCAAAGGGCGGGATCTGGGGGACCCTGCCCATCCGGCCTGAGGACAGGAGGCTCCCAAGTTGGAGTCCAGTAGGGGCAATTTAGGGATTCAGCAAGACCCTATCTCAAACTAATAAATAAAAAAGGACTCAGAATGCAGCTCAGTATGAAGGTGCTGGGTTCAATCTTAAGTACCACAAAAAATTTACAAAGAATAATGTCCACGAGTAGGGCTCGGCGTGATGATTGGGTATTCATGCCTTATGCATGAGATGTGCCTCCTTCAAACCTTGTTACGTGGGCACATTACCTGTCTAACGAGGGGGGGAGGACGGGGGGGGGACTGAGTAGGGCTCAGGCTTTGGTTCCTGAGCAGGTCAGTGCCTGCTCTGAAAAACAGATTCCCTCAGAGATCCATAGGGCTTGAGGCAAAGCACACACACACACACACACACACACACACACTGTGCACAGAATCCCAGGGGCTTCACACAGCCGAAACACTACCCGTACTCCAAACACAGACTAATCGATTTGTTCCCCTCTGGGGACCTTTTTACAAAAGAAATGAGAGCTTGGCTTTATCTCAGATCCAGCCTTTGGAAGGCTGAGGGGCAGAGCTTCTTCATTAAGAGAAGATATTAAAAAAAAAAAAAAAAAAAATCTCAGAACCCAACCCCTAGAAAGGATTGATTCACAGAGTGATAGTCCATGGCCACTCAGCCCACTGAATGGGAGGCTGTCAAGCGACGGGCACTCGGAGGGAGCCAGCAGCAGGCCAGGATTATCTTGCAGGCCCCAACGATCAATACAGCATCATCAGAAGCAAGAGGACCAGATGTCTCTGGTGCTTCCCATGCAGCCACTACAGGACCCATGACGTTCTTGCCTTTCATGCCAAAAATGTCGATCATGAGTCTAAATCAAGCCTCCACTGTACAGCTGTGCTGGCATGGATGCCGCCAGGCACATGTGGCTAATTAAATATAAATGCATTAAAGATACATGAAAGCCTGCCTGCAGCCCCAGCGACTTGGGAGGCTGAGATAGGAGGATCACTTGAGCTTATGAATTTGAGAGCAGCTTGGGCCACAAAATGAGAGCCTGACTTAGAAAGAATTAATTAAGTTTATGGTTCAGTTCCTAAGTCACACTTAGCCACATTTTGAGTGCTCAGTACTACTAGGAATTATAAAAGGGGCATGGTGGCACTCAGCTGAGAGCCCAGCCCTCTGGGAGGTTGAGGCAGGAAAATCACGGATTGGAGCCCAGCCTGGGCAATATAGGAACTTTGCAAGACTCCTTTTCAAAAGAAAAAAGAGAAGGCAGGGGATGTAGCTCAGCATAACAGTGTTGGGTTCAGTCTGCAGTCACACACACACGCGCGCGCGCACACACACACACACACACACACTCACACACCTCTCCATAGTCTTTCCCCATTCCAGCCATTTGCACCCTGGAAGAGAATCACACCATGCTGGGACCCTGATCCCAGACTTTAAGAAATTTCTACCATTTATAAGCCGCCCCAGGTACGGTGTTCTGTCCTAGAAGCCCAGACAGGCTAAGACCATTCCATAATGACATCACGTCAATGCTAACATTCTTGTTTTCTTACCCTATTTCCTCTGGCACTTAGTAAATCACCTGTGTATGTTTGCATTGTCAGCTTAGTTTCTTAATTGTGGCTTTTAATTGTGGTGAAATGCACCACATTAAAGGGCAGGGGTGCTGACACACCCACACCTTTGCATGGTGTTACCCACGTGGGGGCTCCACCCATCACCTGGCTCCCACCCCTCCCAGCACCACCTCCCCCCACCCTTCTCTGTCCAGGGTCTGGGGAAGTGGAGGCCCTGATGTGTCCTTTGTGACTGGCTTATTTCACCAGGCGTCCTATCAGGGCTCCTTTCTGTTCAGGGTATGCCAGAACATCCTTCCTTTTAAGGCTGGGTTTCCTAGGACTTGATTTGTTTTGCTGTTTGTATTGTTTGCTTTGGTTTGCAGTGCTAGAGATCGAACCCAGGACCTTCCCCCTAAGCTACAGCCCAGCTCACATTTTACTTTTTGAGACAGGGTCCCAGCTCGCTAAGCAGCTACGTGGCCTAGTGGCTCCTCCAGGAGGCTGCTGCAGTGAGTGGGCAGCTGCAGGCTGAAACCTCACCGCCTAGGAGGGACCCTCCTGTGTGCTGAGTGATGCCTGCAGGTGTGGCTGTCTGGCGCCTGTCCCACCTTGTTCTCCTAACTACTGTCACTTTTCTTCTAGTTGTCCCTCCTCAGTCAACCCACAGCCCCCACCCTGAGCCATGCCTGACTGGTGGGGACCAGGCATGATCCATCCCTGGAAGAGTGGACAAGTGCTGTCACAGGGCAAGAAGACTCCAGTTTGGGGAGACCCAAGGTGGGGGTGGTACAGGGACCAGAGCCAGCAGAGGAAGCAGAGCCCAGAGATGAAGGAAACAGCCACTCTGGTCCTCTTGGAACTCCTTGATCCAACTGTACCTCAACTCCATTCTTCCAGCCTTTTCACGTCTGTGCACCAACTTTTGTTGTTGTTTTTTCTTTCTCTTCCTCCTGCTTCTCTTCCTCTTTCTCTCCTTTTTTCTCCTTCTCCTTTTCCCACCCTCCTTCTTTTCTTCTTTCCTTTGTCCTTCCTTTGTTCCTTCTTTCCTTTCTTCTCCTTTCTCCTTCCTTCTCTTCCTGGTTCAAGACAATTTGAATATTGGAGCTTCTACCACATCTAACAAGAGTATGAAATTCCCACTGGCCCCTCCTCACATGCTCCTACAGGACCAAGTGGCACTGGCTTCCTGTGTACTTCCCAGGCAGCGTGATCTTTGCATACACAGTGCCCTTAGGACACTCATCCTCCCCTAGACCCTGCCAGAGGGAGGAAGCAACTCTGCAGCAAATTCATTTTGTGCCCACAACCCTGGTTCTTTTAAATGAGGCTTTTGAATAAATCAAGATGCCTAGGGGCAAAGGACAGGTCTGCAACAGCCACCACAGGCCCTCAGGACTCAGGTGTAAGCAGCCACACAGCTTACTATCTGGCTTGGAGAGATGAGGGAAGGCACAGGACCTGCAGCACCATCTCCTGCACACTTGTAAGGGCTGGAGATGATGGGCCACAGAGCCTGGGACCCAGGACCGGCAGAAGTGGGGGCCAATCCTGGGCAAATGTGCTAGCATAGAAGGGTCTCCAGGTTCTCCTCATACATAGCTTAGTCAGCCTCTTCCACAAGGAAGCACTGGGCATGGTGTCATACGTGGGTGAGCCCCAGCCACTTGGGAGGATGAGGCAGGAGGACTGCTTAAGTCCAGGTGTTGCAGACCACCCTGAGCAACAAGCTGTGACCTGCTGGTGCTGAAGGGACAGCTCCCCAGCAGGGGCACTGCAGCAATCGCCTCCCCCCACCCCTACTGCCCTGCTGGCATGAGCCCACCACCATTTAACTGGCACCTACTGAATAACTCTTCCCATGCATTATCTCAGTTAGTCAAGCTCAAACAATCCTGAGGAGGTACCGAGATCCCTTCTGCCTCCCCACCCAGACTCTTACCAGAAGTGCCCTCTGAGGTTTCCTGGGGCTCTGTTTCCCATGCTCACTGATGTGAGGTGCAGGAGGCCAGGAGTTTTCCTGGTCAGTCCTGGGTCCCCAGCACTGAGGACACAGCCAGACACATCACAGGTACTTGGCAACCGTCAGTGTAATGACATGAGGGCAGAGATTTAGATGTGCTTGGTGTCCAGGGTGGGAGTGGAACTGCTTCCCTGGTTGAGCTCACTATCATCAGAGGTAATCTCAGTGAGCAGCACCCTCCCTCCCCTCTCCCTCCCTCCCCTCTCTCTCCTGCCCCACCTGAAATTGTCCTCAGGCTATAATTATTAACACCAGGGCCAGAGCCCAAGTCCACAGTCGCCCCCTTGCCTTCTGACACTCCCACTGTCTAAGGGGCAAGATGAGTCCCCAGACTGAGGCTGAGGGCTGCAGAGGTCTGAACCCAGCCCAGGAGCTGAGGAAGGTGGTACTGAGCACAGGTCTGGGGCAAGGTGGCCACAGAAGCACTAGGTGCCCTGCAGGGACCTGGCAGATCCCAGACCTGAGAGACAGCTCTGGGGGTAGCTGGCCATGCCTCTCCACCACCCACCACCACCCCTAACAGCCTCATCTGTAAGACATGCCATTCATTCTTCTCTGGCAGGGACTAGAAGGGACCAGACTCCAGAATATACTAGACATTAAATGAGTGGGTAGATGTCATTATTGTGATGCAGTTATTAAGAACAAAGCTAGTGGCAGTCTGGGAAATGAACAGTTAGTCTACTCAAACCTGGATCCACGATGTCTTATTGCATAGCCCTTACTGTGTTGTTGACTCGTTACTTCCTCTTTTGGGAGTGCCAGATTGAAAACTCCAAAACTGAGTGTGGTGGCAAACACTTATAATCTCAGCACTCAGGAAGTGAGGCAGGAGGAATGCCATGGGTGTAAAGCCAGCCGTACTTGAGTTGAAAACCAGCCTGTACTTCATAGCAAACCTTGATGAAGAAGAAAAAGGAGAAGGGGAAGAAGGAGGAGGAGGAGCAAGAGGAAGAGGAAAAATAGGAGGAAGAGGAGAAGAAGGAGGAAGAGGAAGAAGAGGAAGATGGGGAGGACTGGGAGGAGGGAGTGGGGAGGAGGAGGAAAAGAAAATTCTACACTCCTATTCTGAATGGGAAGGATGGTTGACAGTTCCATGATCAATTAGTGATGTCTGTTCTGGACACAGGATGGAATGACTGCAGGTGTGCTGTTTTTTTGATAATCCTGTTGAGGAGATGTTTGTCTGAACCACCCCAAAACAAGTGGCACTTTGTCTCCAAGTCTGTCCCTTAGATTAGCCCATTTCATGCATACAGGTCACTGAAGGAGCTTAAAAACACACAGATCTGAGTGAACTGATTCCGTAAGTCTGAGGTCAAGCCCAAGACTTTTTTTTTTTTTTTTTTTTGGTCACTACTGAGGATTGAACTCAGGGCCTCAAGCTAAACTACATCCCTGCCAATTTTCTTTTTTTTTTATGTTGAAACAAGATCTCACCACATTGCTTGGTCTGGCCACTACCTTGTGATCCTCTAGCCTTAGCCTCTCAGGTAGCGGGTATTACACACAGGCTTGCACTGCTGCCTAAGATACTATATTTCT